AATCTAACATTCCATAAGCAGTTAAGCCTGCCAATAACCATTTGAGTGTGTTTGCAAGCAGATCCTTCAGTCTCAGCCTAGTCTTGAGACGTCCCAGCCCCAGCCAAGGCTGGACTGCAATCTTCTAAGCAACCTAGAGCCAGAGGCACCCAGCAAAGCCACACACCAATTCCTGACCCACAGAAACTGTGATATAGTCAATGTTTGTTGTTTGAAGTCTTTAAGTGTTTTTCTACACAGCCAATAGATAACTAATATGGATGGAAAGAGATGAGAAGACGTGGAAATGGTAGAGTTGGAGACAATAAAGGGGAGAGGAAAAAGGGAGGGAAGTGAAGAAGGAAAGATGAAGAGAGGGTGTCTCTGAGCGGGACAGACCACCACCACCATTTACGAAGCCAGTGGTAAAAGCTTGGGCTCTGGCACCAGAGGACCTGGAATCAAGTCCTGGCTCTGTCATGGTGTTAGTCTCCTTCAGAGCCATAACAAAGTACCACACACAACCGGGGGGCGGGGGGGGGGAGGTGACGTTCAACAACAGAACTTATTGTTTCCAGTTATGGAGGCAAGAAGTTGAGACCTAGGTGTTGGCAGGGTTGGTTCCTTCTGAGGACTGTGAGAGAGAATCTGCTCCAGGCCTCTCCCCTGGCTTCTGGTGATGCTCTGGTGATCTTTGGTACCACTGCCTTGTACTGATAGGTCTCTGTCTTCATCTTCGCGTGGCTGTCTATGTTCAAATCTCCCCCCTTTTTTTATAAGGACCCCAATCATATTGGATTAGGGCCTAAAGACCCTATCTCCAAAAAGGATCACATTTTGAGATACTGAGGGTTAGTACTTCAACATATGAATTTTAGGGAGGACACGATTCAGCCCATAACAACCACTTCTAGTGGTGTGGCTGGGAGAAGGCACTTAACATCTCTGTGCCTCAGTTTCCTTATCTATAAAATTGAGATATAATAGTACTGATATCATAGGGTTGTTATTAGGATTGAAGGAGTTAATATTCAAAAAGGGTTTAAAACAGTGGCAGGCACACAGTGCTAATGACAGTTAATGAGTTCCTGAGAGCACAGTGGGAGGGTTTAGGGCAGCGGTTCTCAACCTGTGGGTCGCGACCCCTTTGGGGGTCGAACGACCCTTTCACAAGGGTCACCTAAGACCATCGGAAAACGAAGATATTTACATTACGATTCATAACAGTAGCAAAATTAGTTATAGAGTAGCAATGAAAAAAATTGTATGGTTGGGGATCACCACAACATGAGGAACTGTATTAAGGAGTCGCGGCATTAGAAAGGTTGAGAACCGCTGGTTTAGGGGGTTTTAGAGGACAGATGAGTCAGATAAGAGGAGGCACCATACACTGGTGGGAGCTGGACCTGGGAGGCTTGGGCTAGAGTTAGTCCTGAACTCTTAGAGGAAGACGGGTGATCACTTACAGTTACAGTCCCGATTTGTTTCACTGGAAGTTGTGGTGTGTCTCAGATCAAGGTGATGTGATGGTTAGGCCGCTGTGGTTCTGCACTTAAGAATCACTGAGGGCACCTTTACACCAGAAATCCTGGTTCAGTTGGCCAGGCCATTAGCATTTGTGAAACGTCCCCAAGGTGATCTGAATGTGCAGGCAGGCTCCAGAACCAGCAGAAGATGCTCCTCTGAGACCCTTGCTACTCAAAGTGGGGTCAAGGGATCCAAGACGCCACCTGCCAGATCAGAATCTGCATTTTAGTAAGATCCCCTGAGATGCCACGAGATGCCCTGGAGTGCAGCAGTTTGAGCAGTGGCAGCCTGGGGGTCTTCTGCCAGGAGCACCCCTGAGGAGCACTGCCTCTCCTCCAGGGCAGTCTGGTCACCTAAGCCAGAGGTGACAGGAAATCCTTCACACTTGCTGGCTCTTGACACTCGCCCTCACTGTGGGGATTACCATCCAGATACAAGAAAATCAATGTTAAAGACTTACCTCTGAGTGAGTAAGCTTTCTCTTCTCCCCCCAGGGGCCATATGACCAGCACCCTGGGCGAGGTGAATGCAAAAGCCAACTGTTCCATATCGGGCTGAGGTACACCTGGCCTCAACTAGAAGTGTCAGTCCATGTGCTCTTCTGTGTGATTACAGCCAAGCTAGGCAGGTGATTCTGCATCTCCATGAGCTGATCGAAACAGCCTGACCCAGCTCAAGAAAGAAAATGTAATTTGAAGCTAAAGAAATGTTATAGGGAGGGGAAGAGATGGGCAGAGAGGTAGGCGAGAGGAAAAGGGTTAAAAAGTTGACCAAGAACTGTATTTTTCTGGCCCACTGTGTCTTTCTGGAAAGAGTCCGTATTTGCTGATGGAAACATAGTAGGAAGATGAGCTCATACTAAATATAGTTCCTCTCAGGGGAGGCTGGAAGAAAACAAGAGATCTGAGACACTTTCTTGAAAATAAATCAGAGGCTTTGAAGACAGTTTGGAGGAGAATACCAGATGACAGGGAAGCCTGTATGTTAGGGATGAAACTCTGTATGTATGAACAGAACTGTTCCAGAGATATTAATCAGGGCAGGAGAATTGACTAACTTCAAAAACAAACAAAACAACAAAACCCCAGCCGTGTTATAATTACTGTCCGCATCTCCAATTCCAGATGAAATCCAGCTTTTGTGACATTTCTCCTGAGAAATGGAGTAACAGCAGCAGCACCCCTATGGGCTGGTTACACAGTAAAGCCTATGCTCTCTGCGGTTCTTCATTTATTGGACTGAATAGCCTGGTCTGAGCTATTAAAAGAGATAACTTTATCATGGAGATGCAGAATGAACCCTAGCAATGGTGAGCTTCCCAAATGCTAACTGATTCGATCGTGTCACTTGGCAACTCAATAATTGCCAGCGGCCCCCAGTACCTACTAAATAAATCAAGTCCAGATTTCATAGTTTAGAATTCAGTGACCTGCACAAAGCCAGGAGAGGCAATAGAACAGAATGACCTTTGGTGTCAGCCCCAGCTCAGTTTGAAAGTCTGCTGACCTCAGGAAAACCATTGAACCTTTCTGAATCCATTGGGTAATAAGGGCACCTTCCTTCTTGGGCTGATGATTAAATGAAATGCACTTAGCACAGTGTAACTATGCTAAGTGCATAGTTCTGTAACTATGCACTACTTACTTCTTATACTGTTGGCCCCTAAATGTATAGTCAATGATAGATAGTCACAGGATGTTTAAGACTGAGTTTTATCTGAAAAATACAGAAAATTTGGAGTGAATTTCAGTGCAATGGACAGCTTTGAGCAAAGGGAGGCCAGGTGACTGTTGGAAGGGCAGAGGTGCCAGCCAGGTCGATGTGACTAGAGCCAAGCGCAGAGCAGGCTTGACGTTCAGCACTTCACCTCCAAGGCCCTAGTAAGTACCTACTTTCTACTGGGATCAGTTTTAGACATACACTATATGACACAAATGTGTATTTGCTTCGGCTAAATTTTCAGTCGTGGTTGGTGAGCCCTCTCTTTAATAAATCCTTATGAACAGTTTTCAAAATTGGTTAGGTTACCAAAGTTCTTTTGTTCCATAAAATCTGCATTAACAATGTCACCTCTATATCCACTGAGTGATCCTTTTGTGTTGACATGCCTCATAATTAGAGTTTGGACTAAGAAAGCCATGATCAATTAAGAAAGGCCTAGGCGTCAGATGGTGTGTACGGTACTATACAGACAGACCTGGGAGAGGTCACGGGTTCAGTTCCAGCCCGCTGCAATAGAGCAAATATTACGATAAAGCATCACCTGAATTTCTGGTTTCCCGGTGCACATAAAAGTCATGCTCACACTATACTGTAGTCTATCGCACGTGCAAAAGCATGTCTCAAAAAAACAATGTACAGGACTTGTAATAGATATGTATAATATTGGGGGGGGAAGTGGGGTGGCGGATTAGGGGAGTGGGGTTGCCACTTCGAGGGGTAAAAGGTATAATAACTATTGCACTGTGTTGTACAGCTGAAACTAATTCTAAAAAATGTGTATTTCACAAAAACTAATTAAAAAAAAACAAAACAAAAAACAATGTACACACCTTAACACATTGAGGATGGGGCATTTAAATGCACAGATGCAAATCTGTGTCACCGGTCCACAATGTGTTCATTTTAAAATGTCTTATTGCTAAAAAATGCTCACTGTCATCTGAGCCTTTGGCAAGTAGTAATCTTTTTTGCTGGTAGAGGATCTTGTAAAAAACACAGTATCTGCAAAGTGCAGTAAAACAAGGTATGCCTGTATTTCTTTGGGGCTCACTTATTTCCATGAAGGCCCATGTGTTGTCACTTGATACTGGCTGTGTAGGACAGCATTCATTCTCCATTTCTGTAACACATGTCCATTCATTCCTCCCACAGACAGCCACTTACTATTTGCATTGAAGAAATTGTGTGGTTGTCAGATCCGATCCCCACAATGTATTTGATGACCTATGAACTGTTAAGTCCCCTCACCTCCCCCCTCCAAAAAAAAAGAAAAAGATAGCTGCCAGCCTTCTGCTCAGAAAAAAATCTTCCTTTGGGCATCGAGAACTCCAAGACTATGCTGAGGACATCGTGACGTGTGTGTGTGCCCTCAACCCCTACGCAGAGACAGCTTTCTGGAAATCAATGTTGGCTTATCCTCCAAACAACTCACAGCTATCCAGGTAGTGTGACTGCAGGGTCTGGGCCCACCTCCAGACACCTTGTGCAGCAGCAAGAAAAAGGGGGAGCTTTCCTGTTCAGCAGGGTGTCCAACTTGGGCACCCTCCACAAACCCCAAAACCAAAGACCCCAAACCTGCCCCACCCCCGTTCCTGGCACTTCCTGATCATTGGACCGGTGGTATGAAACATTTAGGGGACCTCGTGCATTTCCGGAGGCTCAATTCAAATGCCTTCCTTCAAATCCAAAGTTCAGAGACAGGAGGAAAGATAGAGCTGCTGAAACAACTACTTCCTGCTCCGTGTGGAGGAAACAAACCACATATACCCAAAGGTGATTAATCGTCTTTATTGAAGGAAAACAAGAAGTCATCGGTCTCGTTGTCATTATGAAAGACATCTTGATAAGTGTACATGATTGTCAAGGCAGAGATTCACTTGTTACATAGGCCTGTTCACAATTTTGCAGAGCCACAAACTGAGGTGGGTTAAACTTCTTGCAGAGTTTATTACATGCATGGAATAAATGCACAGTTCCCCTTCTTTTGGACAAGCATGTTTTTATGGAAAAATGGAACCAATCGCAAGCCTGGTAATATAGACACGGGGACATTCCTGGGTTCGACGTTGGAAGCTTTTGGAAAACATGCTTAGTGTTGGGAGAGCTGCAAGAAGGTTGACGACATTGTGTATAGGGACTAAAGCCAATTGTGTGAAATTGTTCCAAATTTTGATTCTGGACAGAATGTACCTTTTGTGTCTTCCAACCTGAACATGGGACCGGCATAAACGCTCTCTGAAACATGCAGCCCCATCTTTGAGAACACCACATCGAAGCCATTTGGACAGTATCTCACACAGTTCTGAAGGCCAAGTGCCCCCGGGAAGGACAGGCACAAACATCCTCTTTCTTCTCTCTTTCTGTTTGTCTGTCTGTCCCTCTTTTGTAAGTCTGGTTCCCAGAGCTACCCCAGTACCTCTGCTTCTTCCCCAAAGTGCAGACCTACCATGAGGGTCTGGGAACCTCATTCTGTCCAGGTTAAGGTTTTCCTTTGAGAAGTAATTTATCCAGTATTTGGGGCATTTGAGTCCCTGGTGACGTTTCACCGCTATGACTAAATCCTCAAACACGCCTCTCATTTTCTTTTTTCCTATCCATAAGAAAATAAAATCACCTCTAAGTAAAATGATTCCGTAAATAATCAGAAGTCATAGTCATCGTAGAAGAAGTTCCCTGGAGACCAAAAGGTTAAAAATAGGTATGGCGAATGCAGAAGCAGCGTTAGTACAAAGGGTGAACGCAACAGTTTGTCCCTTTGGTGTAGGAAGATACAGAGAAGCCATTCCACGCTTTGCATTGTCCACAAAACCAGCCCTGGCAGCCACATGCTGTGGGTTTGGCTGCCAAACGCACAGGCTTTGGGTTCATTGAAGTGCCCCCGCCCCCCACCCCCCAGAGCCACAAGCCGAGCTGCCCCTGCTGCTGCTGGTGGTGGGGGAGGACTCGGGGGGCTGGGAGGGCTGACGTGCCTTCCCGTGGTGGGCCAGGCCTTGGCTGGCATGCAGGCTGACCTCACAGTGGGGCTGGGCTCCTGTGCCCAAGCCCGGACTGCACAGCACGATGCACAGGGGCCGCAATAAAGGTTTGGGCTGAAGGGGGCTTGGGCCTCTGCCCTCCTCTCACTGCCCCAGCCTGCTGTCCACGGCAGAGCTGTTCAAGCGAACTCATCTGCAGACTAGTTTTCTCGAGTCTTCAGGAAATAAGTCACCCTCCTTTGGGGAATCTGTTCACCCACTTCACCTTTTCTATCTTAACATCTTCAATTCTGAAAATCACAGGAGTGCAACGCTTGTTTGCAAATGCCAGGTACACTTGCAGCCTCAACCAAGGACCAGGTGCCCCCCCCCCCAAAAGAGTGGTGGGTTACATACAGGTATATACATTGTTTCTTTTTGTGAAGACAGACAGAACAGTGTTTGGTCTGGAATGTGTTTAAGGAGAAGGCAAACTTTGCAGGGTGTGAGTAAACAGGACGGGGAGGTGCCGTCGTTTTAGGGGAACATGCGGAGGCTTCGTGCATTTGGATGAGTCCGAGGACCTTCCTCTCACTTGCCAGAAGTGACTGTGAGCCCCTGGGAAAGAGTGCATCTTATTTCTGTTTATGGAAGCGGGAGGAACAGCCCTTTGCTGGCCCTTGCCCTTTCTCAGATCCAAAGGAAACCCCGCAGTGCAGTGCAGTGCAGTGCAGTGCAGTGCAGTGCAGTGGAAATCACACAGTAGGGAGTGTTGCTGGCTGGAGCTCAGAACCAGTGACCCCTGTTCTCCTGTCTTCAGCCCTGGAACGACAATGGCACCAGCGTGGCTTCTCCAGTGTGAAGACCAATAGTGGCCACGGCTCTAGGTGGGCCACAGGGCCACGGTGGCCAAAGCCTTAACATACTGAGTTATTTCCACTGAGACATGGTCTTTCCTTTGTTTGGAATTGCTCATGAGATGTCAAGCCCCAGTGGGTTAATCAGATTAAGCTGTCACTCCTCAAGATAGTGGATCAGCCCCCTTTCAGGAGGGATGCCTTGGGCTCCCTTCCCCTTTGTCCCTGGTGTCCTTGGCCTTTGTTCTAAAGGAGAGTCCTCCCCTTCTACCCACAATCCATCTAGGACATGTTGGACACCAAGGTAGACAAGTGAACAAGATGAGATTAGTGCTGGGCGGGCGGGTAACCTGAGTCAGACGGGCTCAGGCCCGGCCCGTTCAGCTAAAGGTGTCTTCTTCTAACCCAAACTGGACTGTTGAGTTCCTTGGACACTATGCTTAGAGCCAGGTGGAGAGTGGGACCCTCTCAAAGGTCACAAGCTCCTGTGCCAGGGGGAGCTGCTCCCTGTTCTTACGTGAGGTTTTAGAAGTGACTAAAATCACTGCCATAGTCAAGAACACGAAGCCACGCCTGCTTTTGGGGGGCAGTGAGGGCATGCTTTCTGCATAGTTCTTTTCTTAAACAACAACGACAAAAAGGGGACATGAAGGGGGACATGTCCTTTCTATTCTCCCGTGGAGCCAGAGGCAGTAAGAGGTGGTGAAAACTGCCTACTGCAACAGTCACGAGCATCCCTGGCACTGCTGTGGGTCCATCTGGGCACCTTCATTGCGTGAGAATTTTCCATAGTCGTGAGCACCTTACGTAGGCAGGCACCGCCCCCCCCCAGCTGCTCCAGGTCCTCTTCCCCACCCAAAGCCGACACTCCAGAGCCCAGAGTGCCCACTGAGGGCGGGCAGTGAACAGTCCAGACTCCAGGGACTGGTGAAGAGCCACGAGCTGCCGCTCTGTTGGGGACCTGCATGTGGGCATGAACTCCCTGCTCATTTCAGGCAAATGCCAGCTTCTCTTACGGCCTCACAGATGAGACGAAGGTCAGGGAAGCGAGGGAGGGACAGGCAGGTGGCTGAGGGAAAGACAATTTGAGGACACTATTTCAAAATGTAACATTCAAGTGAGAAAGAAAACCCACTTGCTCTGAGAAGGTGAGGTGACCAATGTGGGGGGCCGGGGAGCTGGGGCTGGAAGGGAGCCTGTGATGGGGCCGGGGGTCCACACACACTGGCTCGGAGGCCAGTGGACATAGAAAGCTCAGCAACTACTGATGGAATTTGGCATCAGTGAGAGTGCTAGGACTGTGCCTCCCCACTCGGCAGGTCTTAACAAAAGGCACATTCTGGGTTCTCTTCCTGTGTTGTAATGAAGCATACGGAATACCAGATATAGTTGAAAGACAGCCTCTATCCTTATACAACTCAAGCTCTCTCAAAAGAGCAAAAGTTCTTCCATATGCTCATTTTCTTCTCTTCCTAAAACAATAGGAAATAATCTAAGTCTGGCGGCATTGAGACAGTAGGGACTTGCCCGATGTCAAGTTCAACCTTCGGGCTGAAACCAGTCGCCATCTCCTCCTCCCACTATGTGACTGAGACCTGACGTGTCACAGGCCAAGCATGGCTGAGAGCTGACCTGAACTGCAAAGAGGACGCCAGCGGCAGGGCCCACCTTCCAGCTGCACTTTTCAGGCAGGACATACTTTCAAACTAACTGGATAGAATACACACCCCACATATCAGCTCCAGAAAATCACGTAATCATCAGTAACAGACTTTGGCTTCACATGTTGCTTTCCCAGTGCAACTGCTTGCGTATCGCACACAGTACAAAGAGCTGATGACTATGCAGGCACACACTATAGGTACCAACTTCATGCTAATGTGACATCTAATTACTGGTTTTCTTATACTGTAGAAACCTGAAAGTTCCATTACACTTGTCAGTAAGCGACATCCTACTGAATGCCCTGGAGAGATGCCTCTGTTTCCTCAGACTCCCTTTACAAGATTCACGCTATTGCCCTAAATGTGGGGGGTGGATGTATATCCAACTCAGGCGGTACTTGTTTCTTAACTGGGTCTATTGTCATGTGATAGGTTTTCCCAGGCGTTTTACAGATTCTAAAGAGTGATTGCCTGATTTCACTCTGGGTGCATGTGTGGCAGACAGCAAGCAGGATTCCTGCCCAGGGGCTGAGTGCCTATGATGCATGTGGGAATGGGGTAGACCAGCTGCCTGTCTTTCCCGCTATTCTTATGCATGTCTGCACTGCTGTCCTAAAGGAGGCTGAATTAAGCTGCTGAACCTCATAACATTGTGATTGTGTGATTGTGTGTGTGTGTGTGTGTGTGTGTGCGCACGTGCGCTGGGGACAGCTATCCCGAAACATTTGGCCTGGACATAGGCAAGGGTGTGGAAGTGATAAAGATGGCTTAACCAATAGGACCTGCCACGTTTGGCCAACTGCAGGAGAAGGGCATGAGGACAAGAGCCAAGAATGTCACTGGACTCTCAGGCAGACCTCAGGGACACACAGCCAGCTGGTGCTGACTGTACAATGCAGACTCACATAGCCACAGGGCCGAGGAACGGCTTTTGCAAAGCTGGCATTTGGAGTCACCTGCTTGCATCGACAGGACAGCATCCTTGAAGTCTCCTTGAGAAGTGCTTTGCCCTGGGTTTCACCCTGCGACTGCTGTGTCCTGCACACCTACCTACCATTTGGCTGAACAACGTGGCCATTTGCCTGGATCACTGACAGCGTGAGCACTGCAAGGCCTACATCCTGGGAAATCCTTCAGTCCCGGGTAGACTGGGACCTTTGGTGACCCCCGCCCCCACCACAGGTCTTTGGTTTTCAGATAGCCCTGGTCAGAGGGACGGCTTCAGGTGCCGGCTGGGCCTGGCTGAGGTGGTGTCTGGCCATCACTTGCTTGGCAGGTCACCTCTCCTTACTACCCCACATAAACTATTTTCCTAGGCCATTTCCCTTTCCTCCTCCAGATAACATTCGTACAAGAACAGGGTAAAGATGTGCAGAAACAACTTATGTGAGTTGGAGGCCATTTTAAGTGTAAGATTAGAAATGCATTTTTAAGAAAACAGAGAGAGATTAATTTGAAAACTGCATAGCTGAGAGCAGAGCGTTCATGGGTGACCCCTCATGAGAAATGAGAGCTGCCTGGGAGGTTCACTTTAAACAAAATGGCATCTTCGTAGGGGAGATCCTTAAATATCTGCTGGGTGGGCATCTCCTCCACAGCAAGTCCAGCCTTTGAAGTTCAGCCTTTAGTTTCTGGGGGAGCAGGCTTCTTAATTTCTGGCCGCTGATGTCAAGGGCCCTAGCATCTCTGGTTGGCGAGGGGTTTGCTGAAGGAGTTGCCGGGAAAGGTTTTCTGCAGGTTCCCTCCCAAAGTGGCCCAGAGAGAAGACAGCCCTGCAGAACTGCTGAATTGTCTTCTTAGAGAGCTGCCCCTCCAAGGACGGAGACAGAAGGAGAAGGAAGAGAAGTAAAGTGCACTCTTTGCCTTGGAGACAGATTCTCGATCCTCTTTTTAGAATTTTTAAAAATACCTTTAAATTCACCGTGGAGAAAAAAAAAAAATCTCGTAAAGGTTAACACAGAACTGTATACTGACGAGCAAAAGATATAGGCCATGTAACAAAGAAGTATAGATTGCAAGGACATATTTCTTAAAAAGAAAAAAAATGAAACCCTAATGCACAATATTTACCAATACTTAAATAATCCAGTTGAAACCTTTTTTGTCATTAATAAAAAAAAATACAATATAGATGGTTACCTATACTGAGAAGAGCGGAAATGACAGGAGTTGGGGAGAGGACGAAGAAAGTCCGTTCCATTTGAGCTTTGCAAGATTCATATATACAGCACCAGATCCTATTAAATCAGCTCCCTTGAGTCAGTACAGTTTGTGAGAAATGAACATTTCAGAATTGCAGTATAAAATATGGCCATAAAAAAACTTCTGTCTTCCAGTCCTGTGCAGGAAGGCGCACCATGCGAGGTGGGATCACTCTGGCGTGGCTAGTGGCACAGGAGGCCCCCAGGGGCCCCCTTCCCTTGCCCCACCTGAGGCCCCACCCCCTGGGCCCCACCTCCAGAGCCAGTCACTTGCTTCCAGAGTGCACTGTCGTCACAGTGGTGGGCCTCGGTCTCCGCTCTGCTCCCACTCCTGAGACCCCTGACGAAGAGGAAATGAAACTACAGAGCGTGGAGGATGCCAGACCTGCAGGCGACAGTGGACACAAGGGTTCAAAGCTTCAGAAAGAAATATGCGCTGCTCTTCCCCCTGCAAGGATTTGCTGGCGGCTGGGATCTAACTTTTATGCACTCAATTCTAAATGTTTACATACCCATAGTTAAACATTTGCAATGTGTCCAAAATGTTTTCTTAGCCCCTCTTTTCTTCCCTCTTTTCATTATGACTGTTTCGTATTTAAATACGGCATGGTTTAGTCATCCTAGTATGATAGGTTCCATTTACTGAGCACTTATTATGTATTAGGCATCAGGTTAAGTGTTGAATACCCACTGTCATTATGAGAGTTGTTTATTACAACACTGTGAAGTAGGGATTTTAAGAATGAAGAAAGAATGTGATACCTCCTTGTGCCCTTTGTTTGGTGTGTGGTCTGTACTCTTGGCTAAGCAGGGTTTGTAACACACAGCACATTGAAATGGGGCTGTTTACGTCTTCCTGTGTGAACTCAGCAGCCTCCCAGGTCTAGAAAAATCCCTAACAGGTTGTACTACAACATTCTCCAAGCAGATGTGTTAGCACCGAAAGGTCTGGATGTGGGAATCAATCCGCCACAGCTTAGCTCCAGTAGTGTATTTCCTTCCATGAACTTTGTAGGCTCAGACATAGGGAGATCCATAAAATAAATACCTAATATGGCTTCCTCATCAGAGCCATTATATGAACACTCAAAGAAACAACTGATCATGTGGTTTCCTTTGACCAGAGGGTAGAAAGGATCTATGCTAAAATGTAAATGTGGGTCTATAATAGTGTGCAATTGGGTCAGGGGATGCTCAGAGATTTCTTGGGAAAATTTAAGGGCTGGACATTCCAGAATGAGATGGGGGGACTATTTGGAAAGAAAGAGAGGAAGGGAACCCTTTTCCAAGGTTAATGGGAAGAAATGTGATGCCCAGAGTGAGACCAAGCTGAAGGGTACTTAATGGTTAGGGAGACGCGGGCTGATGGGGAAGATAAAGGCGACTGCTCTGAGGTGGGGAGGAGCCACTGGAACAACCTGACATGAGATAAAGATAAATATATAGATGGGGGAGTGGGAGAGAGAAACAAGGAGAGTAGCTATGCGCTCAACGACACAACATTCCGTGCAAAGGTGAAAGACAATGAAATATTACTATTACTTTGATTGCAAAGCCAATGCATTTCATGTAAGTCAGCTCTAATTATCGTCATCCTCATCACAAATATACGTATGAAAAGTCAATGAGGTCAGGCTGTCATGAGTCTCTGCCACCCCTTGCTCAAATCCTGGGAGTGACTCACAATAATAAGCAAACAGAGGGCAAGGAGATAGATCAGAAAGTGGCTGAGCTTCTGTCCAGACAGACATGGCTGTGTGGGACTTGAGCCACAGATTTCTCATAATAAACGGAAATAATAGCAGGTAGGGTTGTGGGAATATTAAATAATTAATTTTTGGACTGTAGATTGGTACAGCCACTATGGAAAACAGTATGGAGACGCCTCAAAAAAATTAAGACTAGAGCTACTATATGACCCAGTAATCTGGGTGTCTCCCTAAAATTTTGAGGACACTTATTCGTAAAGATATATGCACCCACATCTTCATTATTCATAAGGGCCAAGACATGGAAACAACCTAAGTATCCTTCAACAGATGTTTGGATGAAGAAGATGTGGTACATATACACAATGGAATATTACTCGGCCACAAGTAAGGATGAACTAGTGCCATTTGATACTCTTGAGAGCTTGATGCTAAGTGAAATCAGTCAGATGGAAAAGGACAAGAACCTTATGATTTCACTTATATGTGGGATATAAAACACAAAGCAACAAACAAAGAAACTCGTAGACACAGACAACAGAATGGTGGTTACCAGAAGGGGAGGGGAGTGGGGGCAGGATGGCGAGGGTAAGGGGGTTAAAATAATACATGGTGACAGAAGGAGACTAGGCTTTGGGTGCTGAGCACACATTAGAGTGTACAGATGTCGTATTATAAAGATGTACACCTGAAACTTACATAACGTTATTAACGAATGTTACCCCAATACATTTAGTTTGAAAGAAGAAAATCATTTTAAAAATTAAAGCATGTGCTTGAGTTGTTGGGAGTATTAAATGGGATAAATTATTGCCAGTGCCTGATACACAGCAGGTGCTCAGCAAATGGCAGCGCCCTCCTCTCCACCCCAGACTTATCTTAAATGGCAGTTGAAAAGTTCTGTTTTTGCTACATACTCACAATCTTTTTGGCTGGCCAGACTGAGGCTGCTGGAAACGCTTGCATTTGAACTGTCCAGACTGCTGCCAAGGTGGAGTTTTCTCATATGCCTCACGACGGCTGTGGCGTTAAATGCTTGCTAAAATTCAAGAAAGGAAAAAAGCAGACAAAATATTCCAGTTAATTAAAAAGACGCAGACTGTCTCCTATTATTTTCCCTGTTACCCTAAGCACTGCGAACTTCTGAAAATGTTCTCATGATACTCTAGGAAGGAAATTTATATTGCCCCTGCTTTCAAAGTACACTAATGTATTTGACCCCTCCCCCCTTCCAAATATATTTTGGGAGATTTAAAAACATGCTTTTCTTTCGACATAATAAACATATGAATAAATGTAAACCGATTCTCTATATGTTGAGAAGTGAGTTTTAGAATACAAGACATATTATAATAATATCACACCTTATGAGACAATGTTTTAAAATAGTTTTTATTTTCCTATTTCCTATTATTGGTGCTTTTGTCCCAAATAATAGCATTTCCTCTGAATAAAGGAGGTCAGTGTTATTAATTTTGTTTCTATATGGTCTCTCACTGTTGGTTCTTAATCACCCACGCTGATTAGAATATAGGGTTTAGGAAACCAGTCACTGATCACAAAAATGTTGGTTTAAATCCATCACATTTTTACCAGAAAATGTCAATGAGTTCAATTCAGATTTCCTGGGTTTTTTTCTCCTGCATGTCGCTTTTATACAAGTCGACTACTCAAAGTTCCAGCAAAGTAGAGAAAGACCACAGGGATTACGTTCTAAAGATACAGCAAATGAGTCAGAGCTGGCACTATTGCTATTTTTGGCTTTCAGAAGGGGAATATTACAGCGCAGACTTTGTCCCTCTCACACCAACCTACTCCCTTCAAGTCTTCATCATGATCCGTTAATATCAGCAAAATGATTGGGGTGAGGTTCATCAAGCGTGGGTGGCAGTAACCTTCAGAAATCAGAAATGCTCAGCCTGCAGGACAAGGTTCACGCAAGCGTCACGCTCACTGGGGATCTGATCAACACGAGACTTACTCTCCATTTGCTCTTGGCGAAGTTCTTCCGGATCTGGGCGCTGACGGACTCGTGGATGTTTTTGTTGAGGGCGGTGTCACCTGCGATCCTGAAACAGAGGCAAAGAGGCTTCTTTAAAAGGGTTTCTTGGGGGACTCCGACACTGGCACTGCTTTCCCTGGGGAGCCTCAGCCTGATCCTCTCCTGAGCTTCCCTGAGAGGCTGGCTTTGCCCTCTGTTCCAGGCTGCTTACTTCACCCTATGGCTCTGGTCTGCATGCACACCGTCTGCCACCATCTCACTCAAAATCCTGTGCCACTTCTACATTCTGTCCCCTTTCAGGGGCCGCTTAGCACCTTCATGGTGGACCTCTCTGCCCGGCTCTCACTTTTTCCTTTTCG